AATTTTCCCAGAGGCAGATGGTGGAGAATGAAGAAATGGAGACAGGAGTCACAATGCAGAAAGCTGAGGTCAGATGGAGCCCTTTCTCCTGATGGGAGGCAAGGAACTGATTTGTTGAAAACCCTCTGCCTAACAACTTGTTTGCCTAGTGCACCTCAGGTGTGTCTCGTTTGCAGAGCTGGACTAGCTTGTGTACATGGCTCGCCTTGGGTGCTTTGTGTCATCAGGGCTGGCCTTGTTTTAGCCCCACACATGTGATCCATCTCCAGCTTTAGCTGCTCCCCACATTTTTAAAACCTGACCTGGTCATAAAAATTTCCTACGAAACTTTGAAAAAGTAGCCTTTCATGGGCTTTGCTTCAGTATGAAGAACTCTAAAAATGGGGTGCAGGGCTGCTGAGAAAGGAAGCCTCAGGCAGAATGTTCCCTCAGGCCCTATGAACAGAGACTGGAAATGCTAAAGACCCTAGAGGGCCCTTTGACTTTGGACTGCAGGAGCAGAACTAATGAATAAATAAACAGGGAGAAGAGCCCATTCAGGAGAAGATGATGATTTGGAGGTGCCTGCAGCAGGAGGTGGGAGCAGCTGAGCAGTTGAGGGTGTGGGCTGTAGAGCCAACCTGTTGGTCCAAGTCCTGCTCATGTCGCTGGTCTGTGGCATCCCTGTCCAACTCTGAGCTGAGGGTGTCAGCAGACTTCCCTTCTCAAACTGCTGAGGATTAAGAGAGGTGACAGGCGTAGAAGTGCTCTGGGCTGCAGCCTGCCAGGGCACTCTGAGTGGAGTGCCGTTCATCTCCCCAGGGCTTGAGGATATGGAAAGTTAGGGTAGACCGCTGATCTTTTAAGCTGTGCCTCAGTGTAATTCCCAGTGTCAGCAGCCCCTGTGCACTCCTTTGAGCAGTGCCATGACCTTACAGAGCTGAGCTTCCAGTAGCTGCAGTGACAAGAGCCACACCAAATACTGTGTGAAAATCCACAAAGGCACCAAGAATTAGGCAGGTTCAGGGACTTTGCCCAGCATTGAGCAGGAATGCACTCTCATCTCCATGGGATGCTCCAGAGAGCATGGAGGTTTAAGACCTGGAATTCAGCAGAACAGTTGGAACTAGGACTAAAAGTTAGATGTCCATGTGCAGTAGTTGAAATACGTCACTGGATAAGAGGGTGAGCCTAGAGCAGAATGCTCTAGGACACTGCTACTGGGGGCCCAGGGAGGGAAGAAGGAGCAGTTGTGTTGCAGGAGAAACATGGAGTGGTAGGGAAGGACAGTTCCAGGAGCCGCCAGTCCCCTGTTGGTGAGGCCAGCAGAGCCATGACTTTACAGCTGTGCCAGGGAAGGTAGGGGTAATGGCAAGGGCTCTTGCTTTGGGGTGTGAGGGTGGAGAGAAGGGAAATGGGATACCTACTGGGAAGGAGGCAGTTCCCTGGTGAGCTTCATTTGCAGGCTGGATTTTTGCTTTGTTTTTGTTACTGGGGTTTGTATGTTTTGAGTCCTGCTTTCTCAGAGAATCATATGACAGTATCTTTCTGATCTCCCACCGTCACCTTGGAATGGATGCTTTTTGTCACATGGCCAAACTAGGTAACTTGTGGTCTTCCTAAGTCAGTGAGAGTTCATGGTGTACCCTTCAAGGCTGTGCCCACCCATGGCAGGGCCAGGCGGTAGAGTGCCTGGCAGCAGCAGGCCCACTAATGAATGAGCTGGTCTAAGTTGACTCTTCTGGGCTTTCTCTCAGGTAAAGCAGGCTGAGTAGCAGCAACATGTGATGAGAGTCGGTAGCCACCTCTGAGTGCCTGTTCTGTGCTGGGTTTTCAGGCCTAACTGATAGCTGTCCATAGCCCTGTGTGATAGAGGGAAAAGCTGAGAAGATGCAGAGCCAGAATTTCAGTATAGGTTTCCTTCATCCCAAGTTTGTCCTCTCTCCTTGGTAATCACATGCCACATGATTACCTAGTGCCATAATATGCCACAACAAAGATAAAAACATTTGGCATCAAAGAAAACCAGTTCAGGGTATTAGGGTCTCAAGATATGCAATCTGTCCTGTTGGGAAGTGGAAGGCTTGCCAGGCGTGATGGTACATGCCTATAACCCCAGCAATCAGAAGGCTGAAGCAGAAGGATCATTGAGTTGGAGGCCAGCTTGGGCTATATAAGCAAGTTCAAGACCCACCTGAACTGCACAGTGAGACTCTTTAAAAAAAAAAAAAAAGTGAGAGGCTTAGAACAGAAAGGTTAGCAGTGGGAAGCTTGGCCTCAGTTCCACGGTGGGTGGGTTCCAACCTAAACCTGCCACATTCTGGCCCTGTTCCCTTGAAATGCTTCCTCATTTCAGTTGGCTAACATGTACAGTGGGACTGTTTCAGTTACACTCCTGATACCTATGATGTGCTTAGTCCAGGGCACACGTGGCAGTTGGCTGCTCTTACACCTAGTTTTCCAAAGCATAAACACATAGGAAGACACTCTTAAGAAACTTCTGTGGTCAGTCACTTCACATGTTACATTGACTCAGCAAGGAGATTATTATGTGTCTAATTCAGCTGAGTAGCACTGGCCTCTAAGGGATCTGGCTAGGTGGCACTTAGGTGGAAACAACAGAAAGGAGCAAAAGCAGATGTTCTAGGCTATTTCCCCTAGCTGGTTGCTCTTTGGAGAGCTATATGATCACTGATGATGGACAATAGAAGAGCCCTGTGACCCTTCTGCTCTCTACTTTTAAAGTGGAGACTTCACATAGAGGCCATGGACAGAGGGGGTCCTGTGCATGTGCGCTCTGGCTTCTTCCCACACGCAGTGCCGATTTGCCAGTCCTGCGCACTGCTGAGGGTATGGAGAGGAATAAGGAAGGGCCACTTTCCTCAGCTGTGGTCTGTCAGGCTGGAAAGCATTAGCAGGGGCTGGTGTGGAGGGCTAAGTGGTGGTAAAGAAGAGCACACAGAAGATAGGAAGGGGAGACGTTAGAAAGCAGGACCTTTGGGGCCTCGACAAGTCTGTCAGCCAGAAGCCAGTGAAGAAGGCGGGGTGGGGTAGGGGCACTGAGGGAAATCCCATGGAAGTCTCTGTGTGTGGAGCTCTTAGTGTGGTCCTGGCCCCATACTCGCTGACCACCACGGCATTGCAGTCTCAGATCACTGCTGAGTGTGAGTGTGACAGAAGCAAGGGAAGGGAAGTGACCCCCATCAGTGGCAGGCAGGAACTGGGCTCTGTGCTCTCCTGCTCTGCAGGAAGGGGTTCAGGTCTGTTCCATGGTGAGAGATAGCAGGTATATCATGAACACTGCAGAAGGATTTCTGTTCAGATAGCTAAAGCAAGAACTTTGATATGAAACCTTGTTAACCTTGCCTCAGCTAGCTCAGATTTGGGATCTCAGTCAGATTGGGTCAGAAAAGGGTCAGCAGGCAGTGAGGGTCTGTGTTCAGCCCTCCCGAGATGAGGCTCTGGACCTCTGTTTCTTCAGAAGCTACAAAGTTCACAGATCTTCTCTGGGTAAAGCTCTTGCAGCAGTGTCTCCTAAATGGTATTGACAGCTTTTAGCTTAGAGACTAAAGGGACTTCCTATTTAAGAGGGAAAAATTAAATTTTTTAAAGATTTACAAGCTGTGTGGTGCCTTTAGCACCAGATGTTTTATGCTTCAAACATTGGATTTTAAACTAGTTATAAAGAGGGATTTTCATCAGGTTCTCAGAGTTCTATGCTTCAAAAGTGAGACTTATGAAGACCATTAAGAAGTTGCCTTTGTTTTGGCTTAGCTTGGCTTGGTTTTTTATGGAACTGGGGATTAAGTTCGAGGTCTTCATATTGAGCGATTTTTGTTGTTTTTCCTTTTGAGACAAGGTCTCATTGTGCAGTTCAGGCTGGCCTTGAGCTCACTTTGTAGCGTAGGCTGTCTCAAACTTGGAATGGCTCAGCCTCTGGAGTGCCGGAATTACAGGTGTGTACCACCATGCCCAGCTTTTTAAAAAAATTTATTTTTGAGACAGGATCTCACTAATTTGCACTCCTCTCTCAATTTCTCAAAGTGGTGGAATTATAGGTGTGCACCACCACATGTGGCTCAGAAGTTACTCTTTGAAGTGGCTTGATATTGTGTACCGTGTGGAACATTGGAATGGAGACACTGGCTGCCAAACCATCCAGGGCCACATTTAGCATGTAGGCTTGTTGCAAATAATCGCTGTTACTAAATGGGTTCACGTTTTCAAAATACTAACACTGACCAGAGCACAGTCTGCATTGCAGCTATGACTCGTGGACGCGGTGTTTTCTTGCGTGAAAGCCCAGCGCAGAGCCAATGGCCTCTGCTTGGAGCCTGGAGACGGGTTCTGGCTAGGCAGCTGCCACCCACCACTTGTCTGTGTTCCTGTGGAAGCTTCAGGTCTGCATGGCAGGTGGGTTGGGGGTCAGCATGTGCGCTGCATGCGGGGAGCAGACCATCACCTTTGGGAGCCCTCGGAGGGCGCCACCCGAAGGCCAGCAGGACATGTGCAGTAGGCGTGGCTGTCCTCCACTGCACTTGACGTCGGCGTGGCGGCTTGGCGTGGAGTCCGGACTTTAATTACTTAACTCACAAACAGAAGACTCCCGTTTGTCCGTGAGCTGTGCACGCTGAGAAAGCTATGCAGAAACTTCTCAGTTTCTTCAGGCTCCTCCAAGATAGCTGCAAGGCGGGGCCTCGGGTGGATCGGAGAGGTTCATGAGACCTCTTCTCCAGGTTCAAGGTCAGAAGCTGTGGTTTGTCTCTTGGGGTTTGGTTTTCTCCTGATTCTAGCTTAAATGTGGTTTCTGTTTCATCCGAAATTTTTTCAGGAAACTGTTAAGACAACTTCTGTAGAGCAAATTTTACCGCTGAGTTTTAAGAGTTCTTCGTATATTTTGGATTTTGGTGCTTTTATCAGGATCTTTTTGTCTTAGATAAATATTTTCTCCCAGTCTAGATTTTCTTTTCATTGTCTTAAGCATGGCTTTCCCAAAACAGAAGTTTTTTTTTGTTTTTTTTTTTTTTTTGTCTTTTTTGTTTTTATCGGTACCAGGGATCGAACTCACGACTGCCTGCTTGCAAGGCAGGCACTCATGCCGCTGAGCTAAATCCCCAGCCCCAAAGCAGAAGTTTTTAATTTTAATGAATCCCGCTGACCAGTCCTTTCTGTCATGGATCATGCCTAAAAAAGTATCACCAAAGCAGTCATAAGGGCACACACTTGTAATCCCAGCATTCAGAAGGGTAAGGCAGGAAGAGCTCAAAGCAAGCCCCATCTCAAAAAAAAAAAAAAAAAGACACAAAAAATCATCACCAAACCCAAGGTCACCTGGATTTTCTTCCAGGAGTTTTAATTTTGCATTTTACATTTAAATCTGTGATCCAATTTGAGTTCATTTTTGTAGAGGAAGCAAAGTCCGTGTCCAGATTCCTCTTTTCTTCATTCTTGAGGGGAGGGTGGGAAATAGGAGCACATGCCCTGTGTCTCTTCTCCACTATGCTGCTGTGCCCTTTTAAAAAGCATAGCTGCCCGTGTCCATGCATGTCTGTCTGTAGACACTGCTGCTCCGTTGGTGTCTGTCGGTGTCTGTCCCTCGCCAGCCACGTACTGCCTTGGTGACTGCAGCTCTGCAGCAAGCTCCGAAACCAGCTGGTGTCTGTCTCCCAGGATGGTTCGATACATGGTCAGCTGTCCTTGGCTTTTCAGAGGCAAGTCTCATGGTGCCTGCAAGAACAGAATTCTGTCTCTTCTAGCAGCCCACCTGGCCAGGTCAGACCTTGTCAGGATTATACTCTTTTCACTGAATTCACTAGATACCTGATTACATCTGCATGGTAGCATGGTTTAATCTTCAGGCTGGACCCTTTCTACTTGCCAGTCTTGCCTATATGTAAGGCTCAGCAGAACACTGGGCACTCTTTGTGCCCACCACAGAAATAGCACAGGACCTGCTGTCCTGTCCCTTAAGTCCTATGTCCAACCCAGAGCAGAGCAGACACTCTAATGAACTCCCACCATTGAGAAACTAAGCAAAGGGAGATGAAGCTGTTAGCAGAACGAGTCACTAGTGCAGTCAGCATTCTTCTCAGCTTTGGTGGTCTCTGAGGCGCAGGCTCTGTGCTTGGCACATTTCTCAGATTGCACCTGCTACTTCCCTACCCCATCTGTGCTCTTCTTCAGCTCCTACCCTGTGTGATAGCAGCTGCTCACTGTCCTGCCCTTGTTTTTCCCAGGCCATCTCTGTGGCCCTGCAGCATAACCTTTCCCGTGGGCAGCCTGTGCTGTGCCTCTGTCCTGGACACCACCTGCCTCTTTGAGGGCTGCCGTGCCCCTCTGCCCAGAATCCTCCCCATCACTCTCACCTGCTGGCTTCTGCTTTCTTCCATTGAGGTCAGACGTCCTTTGGGTTCCGCCCTGATAGGTGAGATGCTGCCTTCGCAGGGCACCCAGGGCCATTCCTGTGCTAGCACTGCTTGTTACCACAAGTCATCTTCATCTGGCTTGTCTGTTAGATCCATGTCTAGGGTTCCCACTATATTGCCAGTGAGCAGAGACTCAATCAGTAATTGAGTAAGTGAGTGGTAGAGTACTTTTAATAAATTACTTTTTTCTCTTGCCTTTGAAATTTCTATAACTTCAGCTTTTCTTCTTTGCCATCAGATACTTTGAATATCATGTATCAGAGATGTTATCCCTTTTTGGGTCAAAAATTATTATAAGATACCTAGGACAAGATGGTAGTCTTGAACCCTCCATTTCATGTTTTCCACAGTTCACACTCTCCAGCTTCTGAGAGTGAGACCGGCACCTCAAACTCATACTCTTAACCATGTGCTGTCCCACTACCCTGTGTGCTGGCCACTCAAAGTCCTTCATGAGAGGTGTAGGAGGAGCTCCCTTCTTCACTGCATGGCGTTGGACCTAGCATTCTGGCCAAGACTTGCAGTTCCACTAGTACCACAAAGGAACACTTGTAAGTGTAGGTAGCAGCTGTAGGTTGCCTTAAGGTAGGATAACTGATCTGAAACAGTGTTGCATCACATTGGAGAAAATACTGATGAACTCCTTGCTGGCAAGTTTTGTGATAAGGCCAAGTGAGCTGCGAAGTGTCTCATGTACTTACCAAGTTGGACCAAAAATGCAGTGAATGTTAAAGCCCTTTTTTCTCACTGTGAGAGATTCATTGCCATTCAAGAGTCTCCCTCAGAACCCTCCCCCTCCCTCTAAACACTCGTGCATCATCTGGCCACCTTCTGAAGCAGCTCTGGAGTCCTGTTTCCTGAGTGTCTTTAGTTGCAGTTTTGTGGCTGCCTCAGTGGCCTGAATTGATTGAAAACATTTACCTTCCGTGGTTATTTTGACTTTGAAGAAGAGCTAGAATCACACAGCCAGATCCAAGTGGATGAGGACACGGTAATGTTTTTATTTGACAGAAATTGCTGTCAACATCTTTAGTTGATTCAGGACATCAAAGCAGCCACAGCAGCACAACTAAAGAGAGACTCAGCACTTCTGGAACTGCTTCAGAGGGTGGTGAAAATGATGAGGCATGTTCAAATCAAGGGGGAGCCTGGCATGGTGGCACATACCTGTAATTTCAGCATTGGGAGACTGAGGCAGGAGGATCACTGCAAGTTCAAGGCCAGTCAGGATATGAAGTAATTTCAAGCTCAGCCTGAACTACATAGCAAGACACTGTCTCAAAAAAAAGGGAGTAGTTTGAAGGAGATCAGTTGCAATGTGTTTTTTTATTTTTTTATTGTAGTAAGGTTTTTTAAATATTTACTGTATCTTTTGTTCATATTCCATATTCTTTTTTTTTTTTTTTTTTTTTGTCTTTTTTTCTTTTTAACGGTACCGGGGATCGAACTCACAACTGCCTGCTTGCAAGGCAGGCGTTTATGCCGCTGAGCTAAATCTCCAGTCCCCATATTCCATATTCTTTTTTTTTTTGTCCTTTTCGTTTTTATCGGTACCAGGGATCGAACTCACGACTGCCTGCTTACAAGGCAGGCGCTTATGCTGCTGAGCTAAATCCCCAGTCCCCCATATTCCATATTCTTAATAACGTACTCAGTATTTAGTGGTAAGAGAAAAATTTCAAGGTCGAGAGTTCCACAAATTATTGTTTCATCTTGTACGCTAGTACATATTTGGCATACAGGTAAACTGAGCCATTTTTAAAAGATTAGCATAAAATTACATTTTTAACAGACCTGTCACAATTTTCCAAGTGTTACTTCATTTGGTACAATTACCTTGAAAGGTATGCTAGGATATTTCTGTTCCTCAAAATGATTTCAGAATTTCTTTTAGAATTTAAGTGCAAACCACCATCAAGTCATCCATGTTTGCTTTTCGAGAAAAAACATTTAGAACATGGAAACATTCAGAAGCAGGCAGGAACTGGCCCTGGTGACACCAGGGTGGAGAGTTCAGAGCCAATCAGGGCTATAAGGAGGCTATGGTTTTTAAAAAAAAAACCTAGAGAAGTAAAGTGTGGGATCAAGTTTTGTTCAAAACAAGATGCAGCGCTGAAGTTAGGGACCAGCACAGTGTTGCGCGTTGGGTTAGGGTCATAAAATCGGCCTGTGGCCAGTTGGTTTCAAAGCATGAAGCCTTTCAACAACAGAAAAATTAAAACATAAAAGAGCTAGGGATGTAGCTCGATGTGAAGACTCTGGGAGTGGGGGGTTCAATCCCCACTCCCACTAAAGCATAGTGAGAATGAGAATAATGCAGCAGCCATGTCTTTACACAGTAACTCGGAGAAAGTGACGTGTTTTCTTTCTAATCCACTGTGCAGCCCTGGGAGTTGGTACTTGGGTGTGGTTTCCTGGTGTGAAAACTTAGCTGAGCTGTGGGGCCCTCAGCAAATTACAACAGAAGTATCTCGGAGTGTCCTTTTTCTTATTCTCAAAAAGGAAAGATTTGGCCAGATAACTAATTTAATCCCCTTAGTGGCAGAAACCCTTACTTGTCTTCCTCCATCTGTGGGGAGCTGTGAAGTAGAATGCATAGTAATATCTTGTTTTATATATTCCTTGTTGAAATCACTAGAAGTGAGAATTCTGTTTCTCAAAACCCATCCACTAGCCAGGCATGGTGGCACACCCCTTAATTCCAGCAGTTGGGAGGCTGAGGCAGGAGGATAGTTGCAGTTTCAAGACCAGCCTGAACTGCATAGCAAGACCTGTCTCAAAAAGACCAAAAAAATCTACCACACAGCAATTGCTGTCATACAGTGAAGAACAGATGTGTTCCCGCATGACAGGGCACAGGTTGAAGTGGCCTCACTTAGCTGTCCTTACCTTAAGCCATGAAAATGTGTTAATAAAGTAATGGTAACTACAAATATAGTAAACGTAGGGTCAGGAAAACTTTTAACTGGGCATGGTGGCATGTACCTGTAATTGCAGCACTCTGGAGGCTGAGGCAGGAGGATTTCTGTGTATTCAAGGCCAGCCTGGACTACACAGAATTCATGACCAGCCTGGAGGCCGGGGGTGTGGCTCAGTGGCATGATGCCTGCTTAGCAAGTACGAGGTCCTGGGTTCAACTCCCAGTTCTTAAAAAAAGACCAGCCTGAAATATATAGCAAAACCATGTCTCAAAAAGACAAAAACAGATTAGAAATAAGTACCAGAGAAACAAAAAAGATGTAGATCTCTTCTTGGATTTCTGGCCCCAAAGTTTACAAGGAAATGCTGTGGTCCTGATTGTCGAAGATGTACTTATTCCTAAAAGAAACCCTAACACAGGAATGCTATGAGCAGAATGAAGGCTTTCCAGGTAACGAGTGGGTCACTGCAGCAACCGGGGAAGCCCAACACGTAGAGCCCCTGAGAGGTAAGTATCATGGGTTAAGACGTTACCCTGTCTCAGAAGGCTGAGAAGTAGTACACTATCTTTGTGGATGAAAAAGTGTTGAGCTTCACTAAACTTGGGTTCTGATCAAGTCTTGCCTTGTTCTGTATTCTCTATGGCACTAGCCAAAAAAGAAGAACATGTCGGCCTACCAGGTGTTCTGCAAAGAGTACCGTGTGACCATCGTGGCTGACCATCCGGGAATAGGTAAGCAGAGCTGGGCCCTCAGGCTTTCCTCTCTGTCTGTATCTGGGGCAGCGCCCACAGCTGACTCAATCAGCACAGCCGCTTTCCCTGTCGGCACACAGATCTCATCTCTCCTCTGACCTGCAGGTCACTGTAGACTTTGCCTTCCTTCACCTCGCTGATACCAGGAAGTGAGCTTCCCATGTATCTTCACATGTTCCTGCCAGTAATCATGTGTGACTGTCCCGTTGGTGATATAAACCACTCTGTGGAACAGTCTTACATGTACTACTGGTGCTGGTACAAGTCCTCTTGTGAATGTATGAAACTGAAAATAATGGGAAGCTGTGAAAAATGAAATATTTTGCACTTCACATATAAGTGTGCGCACATGTGTATGTGTCTGCGTCCTGCCTTCTGAGGTCCTGCCATTGGCTTTCTCGCAGATTGCCCTTAGGTGCAGTTAGACCAACGGCCTGTATAGCACTGCTCACATTCTTCTCGTGTGGTCTGGCGAGGTGAGAGAACTCTTCCCCCAGACCTCGGACAGCCCCTTACCTGTGTGTGTCTCACTCACCTTCCCTGGTCTCCATGGGCAGCTGTGATGTGCAGCTGAGGACACTAAAGCAAGGCCGCAGGGTGTGGTGCTACACACCTGCAATCCTAGCACTTGGGAAACTGAGGCAGGAGGATTGCAGTGAGTTCAGAGCCAGCCTGGCTATGTAGTGAGTTTAAGGCCAGCCTGAGCTACATAGTGAGTCCCTGTCTCAAAAAAAATGAAATAAAAATAAATAACAGGAGACAGGAATGAAGAGGAATGGATTGGTACGCAGATGGAAGGATGACATCGCACGTCTGGGGCTGCTTCCTGGCTGCCATGGGAAAGTTCTTTGGCTCTAACCATTAAGATGTTTAGTAAAAGCCTAATACCATTTTATCAGATTCTGTGTAATATGATCCTTAATCTAACTTGGGAGGCCTTGTCAAGTTAAAAGACACCGCAGGAATATAACCTACGAGTAAAATGTGTGAGGATTTGAGCCTGTTAACCACCAAAACGTCCATTTCCTATAGAAAATTAGAAGAAAAGTGTTAGGGGTCTGGTTTGGTTTTCTGAAAGAATCCTGCAACCTTTTGATTGGATCTGCAAAAGCCTTTTTCCACTGGGCTTTGTGGTACACGCCTGTCATCCCAGCACATGGGAGGCTGAGGCAGGAGGATCACTATGAGTTCATGGCCAGCCTGGGTTGCATAGCAAGACTCTGTCCCAAAAAAACCTTTTTCCTATTTCTGCTCCTATCTACCTTCCTTCTATTTTGTTAAATAAGCCTGTTCTTTGTTTTGATTTTTACTCTTTTATGCCAGATTTTGGGGAACTCAGTAAAAAACTGGCTGAAGTGTGGAAGCAGTTGCCAGAAAAAGACAAACTGGTAAGGGCATTTTCCTACAAACATACCTTTCATAGCTTTTTGCCTTTTGAGTGTGATTCTCCTGCAGACCATGCAACTTCACAACAATGGAAACAGTGAAGAAAGAGACCGAGCAGTAGGCCATGGCGTCAGTAGTGCCAGTGCTGAGTTACCTGCTAGGGTTTCTCATTTTTCCAAACACTTTACATTGAGTCAAAAGGAGACCTCACTTGGGCAGTGAATGAAGCGTTAAAGGAGGGCAGAGCATCACAGCCTCTTCTGCAGGACCTGAGCGTCAGCAGGGCTCAGAGCTGAGGGCTGAGGGAGATGGCATGCACACAGTCCACAAGGGCTGTGCTCAGCCTGGCTACCGCTCACCATCCTCCTCACCCATGGCCATGTAGTGGACCCTGCGGCCAAGAAGCCAATAAGACAGTGACAGGTTCATGTTGGAATCATGTAGTTACTTCCCACCTGAATGACGGCCAGGCATTTAGTGTGACTTCCTTCTCATCCACAGCATGATCTGCTAGTGCTGAGACTGACCATTAGTGAGGGAAATTGTTCATTTTTCTAGGCTTCAGTGTCAGTTACAATAGGCCAGAGCCAACTCAGGAACCTCGGCCTACAAGCATCAGCCTTTACCTGCCCACTCCACTCTCCCATCTTGTTTTACCATGACCACCTTCTGTTTTATGTTTTATCTTTTCATTTGCACACTGATCTGATTGCAGATTTGGAAGCAGAAAGCTCAGTATCTGCAACACAAGCAAAACAAAGCGGAGGCTACAACTGTGAAGAGAAAAGCGTCCAGCTCAGAAGGCTCCACCAAAGTAAAAGGTAATGATCATCTCCCCTTCATGCGCTCACTGCCTTAGTCAGAAACTGGGAAAACAGCTTACACTAGAAGCAGCCACACATTATACTGGACATTACTGGTAGCAAGAAAAGATGTTCAGATTTAGAAAATGGAAATAAATCAAAGGTCAGCAGACTTTTTCTGTAAAGATGCAGAAGGTAATGTCACAGGCCATGTGCTGTATGCATACTTTGTCACAGATACCTCTGTCTTTTCCTGCAGACCTTTAAAAATGTAAAACTATTTTTAGCTCACAGGTCACACAGAAGAGGGCATAGTTTTGCCAGTGCCTGGTATACTTCCTAAGGAGGGAAGTCGGGAGCAGCACTTCTGTGGTATCTAAGGCTGCAGGCGAATTTCACCTCCCCCCACCCCACTGTTCTTCTCAGCTCCTGCTGCAGGAGTCCTGTCACCCCAGAAGAAGTCCCCACCTTCCACTGTGCTGTTACCTGCATCACCAGCCAGAGCTCCTGAGACAGAGCCCATCGATGTGGCTGCGCACCTTCAGCTGCTGGGGGAGTCCCTCAGCCTCATCGGACACCGCTTGCAGGAGACAGAGGTGAGATGGCTCTGCGCAGCTCGGGTCTGGAGCCACCACCCCTTCCACCTACATTTGCTGAGAAGTAGCTTTGTGATGAAGCTGCCAGGTACACAGAGGCAGTGAAGAAGATGACATGGGATGAGCTCGTCTGGCCTCCAATCTGCATTTTCTTCTTAAAGCTCACACTAACACACTAACACAGAGCTGAGGGTTGAGAGAGATGGCATGTACACAGTCCACATGGCTGTACTCATGAAGCAACATGAAGAAAAGTTAGAATTCCCTATAACTGATTTGTATTCTTTAAAAATACAGTGGAGCAGGAAGTGGTGGCACACCCCTGTAATCTTAGTACTCAAGAGGCTGAGGCAGGAAGACCACCACAAGTTTGAGGCCAGCCTGTGCTACAGCAGTGAGTTTTTTTTTTTTAAGACAGGGTCTCACTGTCTAGCCCAAGGTGGTCCCAAATTCATAGTGATCCTCCTGCCTCAGGCTCCTGAGTTCTGCAGTTATAAGAGTGTGCTGCCATGCCTGGTTTATGCAGTGAGTTCAAGGCCAGCCTGAACTGCATGCCAAGACCCTGTCTCAATAGAAACAAACCAAAACAGCAGTGGAAGAGGTGAGTGGAAATGCCACAGCAGTTTTCATTACTTGTACTTCTAAGATGGTTTGGATTTTTCAGCACATTTCCAACAAAGCTTTACATGTAGAAATTAGATTGTATAAAAGATGTTTTGTGTTTCTCTGAAAATAAATTATAAATGAGGAAGTTGAGGTTTTAAACTCTTTATTATGAGCCAGGCATGGTGGCACACACCTATAATCTGAGCACTTGAAGATGTTGCAAGTTCAAGACCAGCCTGGGCTACAAAGTGAGCTCAAAGCCAGTCTGAACTGCATAGTGAGACCCTATCTCAAAAAGACAATAAATAAATACTCACTCTTCATTACTTTGCACTTGAGCATATAGTGCTCTGTGTCTGAGGGACATATCGGTCTTTAAACTCTACTTTCAGAGTCACTTGACCTGCAAAGCTGCAGCGTTCCACTTCTGTAAGACAAACCGAGAAGTCAGCTCAGGAACAGAGCTAATCCCGTGGTTTAGCAAATAAAATGCCAAAGGCTGCAAGAGGTAAAGCTGTATCTGAGTTCTTTGGTTAATCTAAAAATTCAGCTGGTGTAGAAAGAGCTGGAACACTCACGTAAACTCATCTGAATGACTAAAAGAATTCCCAGAATAAAATAATCTGTGATCCTTATCTATGTTTTTCATATTCAGTCACTGTTAAGTTTCCTAAAAACTTAGAAATATTTCATTGTAAATACCTTCCACAGTCCAGATATTTCCATTTAGTGTAGCAAGTGTTTGGTGAATATCAAGCCATTCTAGTAACTTGGGAAATACAAATCTGAACACACAGGACACCTATCAGTGGGAAAGTTACAATCTAATTGGAAAGGCAAAAAGCTTGTATAATTCTCAAAACAAGCCAGTTCAGGCGAAGAGTTGCTGTGAGAGTTAATGTACAGTGTCCAGTAGCTCTTTTCAGGAGTCTCACTCAGACCCCCAGGGAGCTTGTCAGCCACTGACCCCACAGAGGCACCGAGCAGAGCAGGGCATGGGTCCCCGCCCACAGGGCTGGACAGAGCCATCTCATGCTGCTTAGAAGATCATGCAGTTTAAAACTTAGGACTGTTTATTTTTAAAATTTTCTGTTTAATATTTTTAAGTCTTGCTACAATATGATTGACATACCATAGCACTCACCCTTTAAAGTGCAGAACTTAGTGGATTTTTGTATATTTCTAGCACAGTAAGCCTGTCACTGGTATCTAATTCCAAAATTACAGTTTTATTTGAGTAAGTCTGTTTAGCCACCCGGGTGTTGTGACATATACCTCCGTAATCCCAGTGCTGTGGGAGGCAGAGGGAGGAGGATTGTAAATTCAAGCTCAGTCTGGACAATTTAGCAGGTTAGCAAAACCCTGCCACAAATTTTTTTTTTAAAAAATTAGGAGATGTAGCTTAGTACAAAGGCCCTGTGTTCAATTCCCAGGGCTGCTAAGTAAATAAATCCTTTTGCAGTGATTCTTGATGTTGCAAAAGTAATGTCCTAATTTTTCTCTAGTGTTCATAATGGGGCATGTAACTATCAAAGTTGTATCACCTATTTGCAACGTGGAAGCACATATCACAGTTAAGGGAACTTAGAGATTGGTAATTGGGCCTAGGGAGTTGAGTGAAGGTCACAGATGGATATCGATCCACAGAAGTACTCAAGCAAGTCCCCAGCCTGCTCCCCTCCTGCCTGTGCCCTCCTGCCACCCTGTGCTACTCAAGTAGCACGAAGACTGTGGAGAACAGAGCAGGGAGTCAGGGAAAGGCACTGTGAAAGGGAGGCGGTATCCAAGCTGATCTGAACAGATGAGCAGGGAGTGTGTCCCGCAGGATGTTGGAGAGACGGCAGGTTTTGCAGCCCTGGTCTTCTACAGGAAGGGATGAGGGTGATCCATCGAGGAATAGACATTTTAGCTATCTTGTGTGTTGGTCTTCCTTGGGTTTTATTTGAAAATTTTCACTGAAATATTAAAACAGTAAGTTTCATTTTAGCAATAAGCATTAGGTGGAAAATAAAGTCTAGAAACTAGAGTACAGGGGTTCTTCACGGACTCTGCAGTGTTTATACTCTGTTGTTTGGGAACTGCAGGGCTCTTTTGAGTGGGGATGGGTATGAGCAGAGCTCCTATTCAGTTCTTTTGAGACCTGCTATTTTGGAGGTTGTGGATAAAGAGAGATCAGAGTTGGAGAAGCATTAGAGCAATGTCTAGATACAGTGAAGATGTGGATTAGTTTAGCAGATGCTTCTTGAGCATTTTCCTGGCTGCACAGCCTGAACTCAAGAGTTGCTGTTGGACCACCCTTCCACAGAGCCTCTCTGGATCTGTTATGGGACACTTGTCATAGGTAGCACATAAATGAGAGAGGGGCAGAGTTTCTGTCCTTGAGGGACTTAGCATCAGTTTGGAGATTCAGGCATAGTACATTAGGTGTAGCTAGTTGTAGGCAAAAGTGATGAATGATATTGCTGTTTGCTAACATTTGCTAGATGCTTAGTCTGCCAACTCTAGTTCAGAACGCTCTATGTAGATTAATTCATTTAATTCACATGGCAGCTTTAGGACAGGCAGTATTTTTGTTTCTCATTTTACCAAAGAAAAAACAGGCTTAGATGGAGTCTTTTGCTCAGAAGCTTAGGCCCTAGTGTTGACAGTTGAATTTGGAGTGTGTCCTCAGAGTATAAGCTCTTACCCTCTCACTGGACCACAGCCCCAAAAGGAGAGGGCAAGAAGAGTGAAGGAAAAGTTGGTGACAGCATAGCCTCAGGCCTGGACAGCTGCGAGAATGGCAATGACTTTGGTAGGCTAACGGGACTAAGGGGTAGATTAGAATAAGAAGGTTATTCCTCTTTCAGGCATGTCGAGATTGAAAGATAGCCAAGAGGTCACCCAGCGGACAGCCAGGGATGCACTTTGCGGGTGATGAGAGTAGTAATCACTTTCCACATACTGCAAGCTGTGCCAATGCTTTACACTTACTATTTCAGGCCCAGCCAATCAGCAGCTAGGCCAGGTACAGAACTCAAATCCAGTCCCTTACAGTGCTTCTGAGCAGTGGGTGTACCACAAGTGGGCTCCTTCTCACCTCTTTAGAGCACAGGTATAGATGATGTGAAGTGTGTGAGATGTAGAATTTACTTCAGCATGGAATGGTGATCTCAGCTATGTCAAGAAATGTGTGCATGGTTATTTAAGTGGGAGTATATAAAGTAGCAAGGTTGAGTCATCACACTTGAGTTGCTCTTGGGGCTTGTGACAGATGTGCTTTTGCATACATGAGCTCACAGATCTTCCCAGCAGCTCTCCAGAGCAGATACAGTGGATTATGAATACAAAGAGGAGACCTGGAAGTATACTATGAAAGTTTCCTCTTTAAGTAACTTCCAGAATCATCAGAGTAGATCCCCCGGCCTATGTAAGTTTCATTTTACAGACAGAAGGGTCCAAGATTTGTTACAAGCCACCAGGCAGGGCTGGAGATTTAGCTCAGTGTGTAAGCGCCTGTCTAGCAAGCAAGAGGTCATGAGTTCGATCCCTGGTACCAAAATAAAATAAAAGCCACATGGCAAGGCATGGTGGCACATATCTCTAATCCCAGCACTCAGGAAGCAGAGGCAGAATTGCTATGAATTCGAGGCCAGCTTGGGCTACAAAGTGAGTTAAATGCCAGTCTAAACTGCATAGTGAAACCCTGTCTCGAAAAGACAATGAATGAATGAATGAATGAATGAATGAATGGACAAGCAAATGAATGGCACACGAGGAAGTCAGGAAAGGGAGAGCACACAGGTGTGCGTGACAAGTCCCCTCTCCTTTCAGGGCATGGTGGCCGTGTCCGGCAGTTTGTCGGTACTTCTGGATTCTATCATCTGTGCTCTTGGCCCCTTGGCGTGTCTGACCACACAGCTACCTGAGCTGAACGGCTGTCCCAAGCAGGTCTTGGTGAGTTTTCCTATTTTCCTTGGATGCAGGGGGTCAGGCTCCTCGGGAGCAGGCGTGCTCCTGAGCCCCTTGGCCCATGGAATGTTGTGCTGCACTGTTGAACGCTGTGCTTGGAGCGAGACCAGAAAATGTGCCACTCTCCAGAACAGTAATGTGGGGACAAGCAGTCTAGCCCTTGAGGTATCATACCTCTACTTGCTCTTCTATACACAGATAGTGCGGCAGTTTTCTGCCTCATTGATACTGGCATTGCTGGACATGGTTGTGCATGCCTGTAATCCCAGCACTTGGGAGGCTGAGCCAGGATGATCACAGCAAGTGGAGACCAGCCTGGGCTACAAAATGAGCTTAAGGCCAGCATAGTGCATAGTGAGACCCTGTCTCGAGAAGACAAAAAAAAAAAAAAAAAAAAAAAAAAATTACATATATATGATACTGGGATTAACAGGAGAGGGTCAGCAGAGTAGCTCCTAATGTAACAGACCTCCTAATGCCTTCCACCCTCTGCTGCTCCAACTCTACCTCCCTCCTTGGCTCTCCCCTTGAACAGAGAAATGTGCCTCCTAGCACCCTGGGAAGTACTCCTCAGTTGAATCTGTTCTCCTTGTTTTACAGTCAAACACACTAGACAACATTGCTTACATCATGCCTGGACTGTGACAACAAAGAACCCTGGGACAGAACCCTCCCCAGCCCGTTGCTGGTTGGTGTATATATCACTGTTACAGCCCCTTCATTGGCCTCTGGATGTGCGTTTTAAATTTTATATCTATGTATTATATATATGTAATGTACAGTACATAGGACTCTAACTACTTTGCTTTAGTTATTTTATGATATGGCAAAGGTGTAGCTAAGAGGAAACTTTGGCAGGAATAGGGGCTTGGGACTCTTTATTCTCTTGTGGTGGATAAATCTGCCTTAAAAATCAGTGTCACTTGGGACTGGGGGCTTGTTGTAGGTGCCAAGTGCTCCTGCCATTGACAGCTAAAGTGTGACTTTTTCCAAATCAGTGGTACCTCCAGACCCATCACTGACCATTTGCCTTACCTGTCTTACAGTTGAAATGTAAGGAGGACTATGAAAGATGCCAGCTGCGCAAGTGACCTTGGTGGGAGGTGACGCTATCCTGCCCACGGTAGCTACTGAGATAGTTTAGGTGGGCTGAGTAGGGGTCACTGCAGTCCTTCCTACAGTGTCCACGTCCCAAAACTCACTGCAATCACTGGTACCAATGGCAACCTCGAGAGAGGCCAAGAGTGACGTTGATTCCTGGCAGCAAGAAATTCCTGAGGGGGAAAGCTACACGTGTTGTACGCTGGCCCTCAGCATTTGGTCTGCAAACCCGAAAGCCGGTGTCTTTCATTGGCCATGCTAGACTGCCCACCAAGCCCCCAGATTCTGCTGCTTAGTTTCTCGGTGGTGATGGAAGATAAGCATTGCCCCACATGGCTCTCGGGTTCATCTTACCGGTTTCCCTGTGGGCAGATACAGCACCGTTCCACATGTGAGTGAACTGCAACATGACTCAGTTCTCATGTAGGTTTATTTATATGTGTGTGGATGTGTATTTTAATTATGTGTATTTAACTCTAAATTTCTTGGATTTTAATTTATGCTGTAAATTTGTGTATATATAATTTAATAATAACAAAAGCCTCCACCAGCAGCAGCATATTGTAGATACAGATTGGTTACTTCCCCTTTCTTCCTTCCTCTGGTCTGTTCTGAAAACTCCAAATCATCTATACTTCAAGGTCTTATATCTCAAAAAAAGAATCATCATATTGTGGTTCTAATTCTTCATAGAGAATTTCAAACCCTTCAATAATGTCAAAAAAAGTGAAATAAAGAAATATTACCATTCCCTGCTGCCCTTATTTCCAAAGAGCCAGACCTGTGTCCCAGGTGGAAAGAACTGGACAGTGGATGGTTTTCAGTTGGTGACTTCTTGCTGAGCCATGCCAGCTGGCCAGGGCCACTGTGAGGCTCTGGGGACAGTGCAACTAGCACACGTCCTGTGCAGCTCCCCCTTCGCCAGCCAGCAATTACAGGAGGCCATGCTCCTCAAAGGCGCTCTGGCATTGAGCTCACTCAGCTCAGAGTAGTTTTGCATTTGATCAAGGAAACAGGAATGTTAGGAACCGAAATCAAGGAGAGCAGAATGTTAGCTTGCACATGCCAGGACCGTGTCCAGTCCTCACTGGTTCCCAGGGGAGCTCCCTGTCAGACAGGACTCAGTGGGGGGTGGCACACAGGCAGGCAGGCCTACATTGGTGGGGGCATGACCATGTGACTCACTGCCGGGAGGCTCTGAACCACCAGCAGTACAGGCATGACTGTCCCATGGTGGGGGGCAGGAATGGTCCCATCAGGTGATACACGCTGCCCCATGGGACTGCCATGTACATACCACCTATAGTTCAAGTCAGTGAGAACATGTTAATGAAGTCCTGGCAAGAATCTGCTTTTTTTTGTTCATTTGCTTTTTCCTTTGAAATCCAGCCCTAGTATATTTGTATTTACGATTTGTACACATTTATATGATAATCTGTGTCTTGTGGTATTTGGTACTTCATAGAGGAAAAACTTTGGATCCAGACCTTCTTGCAGTTTTTATATCCTTGTTTTATTTTGTTTTTTTAAATTCCAGTGGCTTGACCCAAATGTCATTATGATTGTATAAAGAAATAAAATTTTGTACTTATATTATTAAAAATCACATTTTTAATATTTGTAGTTTAGTCTCAGCTGTCTTTTCCCTAATCATGCTTATCAGACTTGCTATGAAATTATAAAATTTAGCTGTTTTTCACCTTTTGTTGTACTGTAATTTTCTCCAAAATAAAGAATTTGAAGTAGAAGTGAAATTACTAACTTCAGCCATTTTCCTACCAACCATCTTACCATTAATTAACTTTTACACTGTAAATGCTCTTCACTGTCTTTTACAAATTGCAAAGCCATGGGGCTGAGTGGGGATTTAGCTCAGCGGCATAAGCACCTGCCTTGCAAGCAGGCAGTCATGAGTTCGATCCCTGGTACTGATAAAAAGGAAAAAGACAAAATAAAATAAAATAAACAAATTGCAAAGCCCGAGCATCTGATAGTCCTTGCTGTTTACTGGCAAACAGAACTGTGAACATTTTCTGTAGTCCCAAGCAACCTAAAAGAAAAAAAAAAAAAAAGCAGGAAATATATATGTTTTTATTTATTTATTTATATATGATGATCTTTAAACCTTGGGTATCTTGATTTTTCTCTAGGAAGAATTTAAATGAAATAATAGATTACATTTATGCAGCCACGAAAAGGGACTTTTATTACCTTTAGCAAAGCATGATACAAATATTACTGAAACATTTAAAAAGGAAAATTAAAATCAAACATCTTCCCAAGTCACTTTTTTCCTTGTTAACACATACTTTAAAAGCAATCAATTTTCTCTGAAATGGGGCTTGAACCCAGGGTCTTTGCATCTACAGCCTCCCCAGCCCTTTTTAAAAATTGTTTTCTTTTGTTGTTTTGTTTGGGGTTTTTTGTTTGAGCCAGCATCACTTAGTTGCCCAGACTGGGCTCAAACTTCTGATCTTCCTGCCTCAATTTCCTGGAGTACTGGGATTACAGCTGTGCACAAGCAGGCCTGGCAGCTTTGTACTAAGAATATTTTCCTTTTACATCTCTGTTTATCAATTAACACACGCACAAGAGTGATGGCATACACCTGTAATCCCAGCACTCCAGAGGCTGAGGCAGAAAGATCACTTGAGTTCAAGGCCAGCATGAAGTGTATAGTGAGACCCTGTCCCAAAAGACAAAAACAGCAGGGCACGATGATACATGCTTGTAATCCCAGTACTCATGAGGCTGCGGCAGGAGGAGCGCCACAAACTCAAGGGCAGCCTGGACAACATAGCAAAAAACTCTCAAAAAATAAAAACATGCTTCCACTTCCCTGTAATAGCTATAAATGATTTGTTTCTGAAGAATAAAGTTCACAAAAACTTAGCAAATCGCCACCTAACATGGATATATTCAAAGTCATCAGTGAGGTGGGTGTGGTGCTGCACACCTGTGATCACATTGGACACCCGCCTGTCTCAAAAACCAAAGCCATCAGTGAAAAAACGTTCGCAGTATGCTTACAGGAAGCAAGACGTGTAAGTACCTTAATATGAAGGTCATCGTAAATGTACATGGCTACAGTGCAGGAGCCTCTACGGAAAGGTGGACTACGTCGCTTACATTTCCATAGTTACGACCAGAAGAGGCGGAGTCCTCCAGCCCCGTGGAGCACCTAGCCCAGTGGGAAAGGGCAGATGTTGACAGGGTTCTGTTAAGCACTAGAGGCCTCTAAGTAGTTTTTATACTGTAGATGCTGCACCGCAGCTCAAACAAGTGAACACATGGCAGTCATCACAACATTCATCTAGTCATTAGGCAGCCAAAATGTGTGCCAATTAAATTTAGCCTTTTAGGTGCAAAATTCGCAGCACGCGATCAATAAAATGTTAAAGCACCCTGCGGTGGCCCGGCCTTGGCCGCAGTGGCTCTCAAGGATATTTGGTGACCCAGCGCGTGGGTCGCCTGTGCACGTGGTCCGCGGCCAGGAAGCCAAAGAGGCTTAACTCACACAGCTGGGAAAGCCCTGTCACGGTCTCAGCCTGGCCTCTCCGGGAGGCCCTCGGATTAGGAGCGAAACTTCATCGGCTTTTGTTCTTCACAAAGACCCACTGCTTTCTTTAAATTAGGTCAATGGAACCACTGACCTTGCAAAACAATGGTGCCAAGTCTTGGATCTCAAGCAGAGAGAATGGGGACTCGTGTTTACATGCCGACGGCCCACGCCTGGCCACTCCGCCAAGCCACCGCAGCTCAGCAAGCGAACAGCGCCCGAACTCCACTTCCGGCGCAGGGAAAGGACCAATCCCCTCCCGCTTCCGACGCGGACCCTTAGGCCACGCCCCTGGACCACGGCGCCGCGCTCGGGACCCGGTTTGGCGGCCTCGCCCCGCGTGCGTGACGCATCTGGGCGGAGACCTGCCCTGAGCGCTCGGCCTCTCCTCCAGCCGCTGGCGCGTCACGTCACGGGTTGGCGGCGCCGGCGGTTGCTGTCAGCTGATTACCCGGTTAGTGGCAGCGACTGCCGCGGCCATGGACTTTCTCTTGGGAAACCCGTTCAGCTCCCCGGTGGGACAGCGCATCGGTGAGTCTCTGGAGCCCCGTGCAGCCTCGGCTTCTGGCGGCTCCGGTCCGGCCCCCTCGAGAGGCAAGGAGGGTGCTGAGGGTAGTGAGTCGCACCCGACCCGCCCATCTTTGATGGGCAAGAGAGCAGTCTCATAGGAAGCCTCTCTCAGGGATGGATGCTTGTGGGAACCAATCGGTGAGGGCGAAGGCGGGCCCAGTGTGGCGGTCCACCAATGTGCGCGCAGCGGGGGTCGCGAGTGGAGGGAGAAAGTTTTCGGGGTTAAAGGGACCTCGGAGCACCCCTCGGGTCTCTAGAGCCGGGGTCACTGAGAACTCGGCGAAAGATCGTGTGTGCCGGTGCTGAGAGCGCGGCCAGCGTGGAGAAACCAGGCGGCCTTGTGGAACTCCGCCTCACCAGGAAGCGGGGTCCTCTCTGTGCCCGGAACGTTCTTACTCGTCCCAGCTGTCACCGCCGTGTCGCGCTTGCCCCGGGTATAGGTGGCTGTTGTGAACCTATCGTCAGCCTTCAACAGGGGACGCAGGAGAACCGGGGGACACAAATGCAGGCCGAACCTGCAAACACATCCACCCTGGGAGTCATCGTGCAGGGAACCCAGAGGACGCTTAAATGTGGCCCGAGCCCCCCACACACGCCCACCCCGGGAGTCACCAGACAGGGGACCCAGAGGACACACAGGCGCAGCCCGACCCCCCAATATTCATATATCCTGGAGCCACCCTGCAGGACTGGAGAAAAGTTGCCCTTGTAGAATCTTCCTACTTCAAAATAAGTAAAACAGATCTGCCTTCAAAGTCAGCTGCCTTTTCCCCAGGCTTCCTGGACAAGCTTACCTTGCTCTGGGCTTCAGCTGCTAAAGAATTGCGTTTCTTCTTTCCCTGATGGATTGCATTTCATGGGTAAAAAGACTTCCAAGAGAGCGTTGCACATCTGATCTCAGGGGATGAGATTGCTGCTTGGAGGAGCTCACCCTGGGACCCACCACCCCTGTTCTGCACACCCACAATCCTCTTTGGGGCTCATTAAGGTGACATGGCAGTGCCCCAGCCCAGGGGATCCCAAAAATTTGCATTCAAACAAGTCCCCAGGCATATTTGTGGGCTTGGCCCATCCAGCTGGAGGGAGGTGGAGGTCCACCTTACCCAAGGACACCTCTAAAAGCAGAAATGAGCCACCCAAAGCTGCTGAGAGTTAAGCCAAAGCTGAAGCTTCTCTACAGTAAGGCTACACGAAGAGCTGTTGTCCTCACTAAAGCCCTTGCTGTCCAAGTTCTTCTGCATGTAGGGCCAGAAGGACTGTTCGTTGTCTGTGACTGTTTTGTGTTTTGAAATGAAGTATCAGCCTCTCCATGGTGCTCAGGCTGGTCTTGAATTTCTGGTCTCAGGCCATGCACTGCCTCAGCCTTCCCACAGTAAGAGCTCCTGTGCACACCACTCCACTGTATACTTGCTGGAGATGGAAGGCCGTCTGTTGGAGGGTTTGCAGGCCCCTCACAACAAGAGTGAAATAGTCTCTCCTCCAGTTGGTGCTGAGAGCAAAGTCATGAGGACAGTGTCCTGGTAGAGCAGTGGATTCTGTGACACTAACCAACAGAGTCGCTTAACCCACAGAGCTCTGGTCCAGCCTCGCACACAGATACTTGTGGATAACACTGCTGGAGCACCCACTCCTATGTGCCCCACAGAACTGTTTCTGTTGTCAGAGTGCAGGCATCACTGCCTCTTCTCAGAGGCTGTCTTGACCCCCAAGCTCCTGTCCTATGCTCCTGCCTTCTGGGTTCCTCCACTAAGGGCAGCTCTGAGCATGAAGCAAGCTTGTCCCAGGGGTGACAGGAAACCTCATGGCTGCCGTTGTTGCACCAATACCTCACTGTCCTGTTCACACTTATACACCTCTTCCTCTTCACCTAGCCTGTACTCTTTTATTTTTCTCAGTATTAAGGACTCAACCATGGGTCTTTATACTAAACCATATCCCCAACATCTTTTTAAATTTTTTTTATTTTGAGATAGTGTCTAGGTTGCCCAGGCTGGGCTTAAACATGAGATCCTGCCTCAGCATCCCTGAGCGCTGGGACAGCAGAGCCTATCATGCCTAACCTGGACTGCACTTCTCTTTGTTCATTTGTTTGTTTGTTTTTCGAGACAGGATCTCACTATGTAGCCTAGACTGTTCTCAAACTCATCACAATCCTGCCTCTGCCTCCTGAGTGCTGGGATTACAGGTGTGTGCCGCCACACCCTGCCTAAACTGCACTTCTTGAGAACAGGGATGTCTCACTTACCTAGCTGCCCTTCACTATCATGATATTGGTACCCAGCAGGAGACAGGAAAGGAAAAAGGATGACCCTGTGAGGTTTCCTGTGTTTTCAGTTTCACCAGGAGTCAGTCTCCAGGTCCAGAGTATCACAGCCCCCATGGGTAGGGTGCAGATCCAGTCTCTCAGTTCTCACAACAATGCCTCAGGCTATACCATCCTCCAGCCTCCAGATGGGCCTTGTTATCTACCCATACGTCATGGGTATGTGCTTCTTGGGCTTATACCAGGTCCAGGTCCTTCCCAAGGGAGCAGCTTGGCCAAAGAGGGTCCTAGAGCCCCTGTTCTGGGCACAGCTAACACAGCTGTCTTTTGAGCATTTCAAGCCCTATTAAAGACTCTTTGCATCCACATCTCAGTGGCTGGGTTCACAGACAGATGTCAGATGTCAGAGATCCCCAGCATCTGTTTCTGCTCTCAGTCTCCTACACTTGTGAAATCAAGCTACAAACCCAGAGACTGGTCCAAGAGACCAGCCTGCCCCTGGAGTGGTGGATGCTGGGTGAGGTGGAAAGCTCAGCACTTGGAAAAGAGGTGGAAAGAGCTGTCCTTGAGTCCCTATAGGCCTCACCAGGCAGCCATAGGAAGGAAGCGTGAAAATGCAGGGCCGCTGGAAACCAGGTGGACAGCTAACATGCTCAGACAGCAGGCTGGGGTCCTGTAGAGCTGGGCTGGCACTTGTTCTACTCCTGACCATGCCTTGTGCACTGCCCATTGTCCTCACTTACCACCACCACCACCCCCCCCAGAAAAGAAGAGGGGTCCAGGCTAAGCCGGCACTGGCAGGAAGACAGAAAGTGAGACACTAAGGCTGTGGATAGGCAAGAGAACTGATTGCCAGGTCGAGAGGCAAGGAGACCTCAGTGACGGGAGAAATGGTGTAAATAGCCAGCCCTGGAGCCAATCAGAGATGCACCTGCCTTGATGGGTAGTGAGCTGCTGCTGCTGCTGAATGTCTGCATGGCTGCCAGAGTAAACCAGAGCAGAGTCCCCAGCTTCTCCTGTAAGGGCCACAGAGTGAGCATGCACAGTCTCTGTTGCAGCCACCCAGCACAACTGTTATTGTATAGGCGCAGCCTTCAACAGGAGTGATGTATGGGAATGGCCATGTACTAACGAGACAGCCAGTTGAAGGTCGTCCTTTTCACATGCCAGGAGACATGTTGTCCTTTGGCTTTTGTTCCTGTCACTTAAAAGTATCAAGACCTTCTGTCTTTCTTAGGCCACACAGAAGCAGACTGTGTCTGTTTCGTGGGTCCATAGGTAGCTGACCTTCACGTCATACTAGCTGGCAGGGGTCGGGCTGTGCTCCTTAATGTGGGCTCCAGAGCACCCATGCCAGGGAGGCTGGAAGGTGGCCCAAGTTAGTCGCTCCCTTAGCCCATATGTGCCTGGGAAGCCTGTGAGTCTGAAGCAGCAGTGTCCTGATCCAGCGTGCAGGAGCCAGAATGACAGAATTGCCTTCAGCAGGGTTTTGCACCAGCTGTATGCACAGTGGCTCGGAGCAGGCGACTTGACCTGTGTCCAGCTTTGTTCCTGTGCAGTGAGTCCAGTGCTAGGCCTGTCACTTGGGTGCTATGTCTAGCACTGCAAAGCACCTGGCTGGACTTGCCAGGCAGGAGGCGGCATGGGATTTTCCACCCTGTGGTCAGCATTCCTGAGCAGGACTGAGTTGCTGGCCGAGGCCCTGAGTTTGTGTTGGTTTCGGTGCCCAAGGTCCTAGGCAGACTGGCTGTCATATTCACAGACAGCTCAGGTTCCAAGTGTAGGTGGGAGCTGCTGTGCACTCGGGACCCAAGGCATTGGGCTAACTCTGGGTAGAATGGTAAATAGGTTTTTTTTCCCCACCCTGAGCTTAGTGAAATAAGAATCCACAGTTTCCCCATCTTCTGGTCTCAGGGGAAAAACAGAAACCTCCATGTCTTCTGATTAACTGGGGGCCCTCATCTGGGGAGAAACAGGTAGATGCTGGGCAGGTTGATTCTCTACTTCATCCAGGAGTTCTGGATCTAAACCCCTACCATCCAGATGCCACTCAGTCAGCAGCAAGCTTAGGTTTGTGTCCACTGCAGGCCACCTTGGTGGCTATTGTCCTTTAACTGGATCACCTGTGTTAATTTGACCTCATCTCATGTAATTACTGCCCTGAAATCGTGGCTTTGAAAGAGCTAATTCGTGGTTTATTCCATCCTGCGTTAAAGTGAACACATCAGTCTGTGTGCCTCCGTAAGTGCTGGGAGCCCTATGCCACGCCCCAGGACACATGTCAGTGGCTTTTGGCTCTCTGCCAGAGTTCTGTCTCTGCCCAGGGACCTGGCCTCAGGTGCCAGCCCCACCCTGGACAAGGGGCTTTGGATATGGAATCATGGCAGCTGATGGAGCACTGGCAAGTGCTGTGGGGGGCCGCTACACACAAGGACAAGGAGAGCAAGCGGGCAGAGGAGGGAGAGGCCAGCCTGGCCACAGGGGCCAGCACAGAATTTAGGGACAGACAGGGTTGGTTCACTGGGATGCAGGCAGTAGAAAGAACCACTCTGCTGGCTAACACATATGTCAACTCAGGCCAGTATACCCTAATGCTTGGTGAACATGCTAGATGATTCTGTGGAGGTTAAAATGAGACCAACAAGCCAGGCATGGTGGTGCACACCTGTAATCCCAGCACTTGGGAGACTGAGGCAAAAGGATTGCCACAAGTTTGAAGCCAGCTAGGACTGCACAGTGAGTTCAGATCCAGCCTGAACTATATAACCAGAGCCTGTCTCAAAAACAATACAAAAAAAGAAACAAAGAAAGAAAGAAAGTTCCAGGAATGGTCAGATGGAAGGAAAGTAAGAGTTCCCACACAGCAGCTGTTGCCAAAGGGGCAAGCAAAGGCCTCGGAGAGTGTTGTGTTGCCAGATGTGACCTCAGCCTTCAGGGAGTCAGTCAGCAAACAGGTCCTGCTGGTCGAACACAGCCAGTCCTATCTGAAGCAGGGTGGAACCAGGGAGGTTGGTGGCAGCCATCTCTGTCACATGCAGCAGGAGGTGAGGCAGTCTTCAGGGAATAGGCTGTGCCAACTCTCTTCCTGCTCTGACAGCTGGGAGGTCTCTGTGAACTCAGCGCCCATTGGCTGCCCTGCAGGCCTGGGCAAGTGTCCACCTGCTGAGGGCACCCTGTGCTGGTTCCCACTGTGGATCTGAGGACCAGACCTGTGTGGGTTCCCACCACTTGTCTGCAGCTCACAAACTGTCTCGGCTTCTCCTCTCTCTGTGAGGGTGGGGAGTGGTCACCAATGTGGGGAGCGCCTTCAGTCCATGCCTGGGTTAGGAGGAAGTGAGACCCGCAGGGGGCACATGGCCTGACAGTTTGCAGCCAGAGAAGCACAAGGTGGCAGCCAGGCCTGGCAGGCAATGGGCCCGAGTCCACAGTGCTGCCCACAGAGGAGAGTGGCCGAGAGGGCACCGTCACCTGGCTTTCCTGGTCCTGCCCATCCCAGGGTGACCAGGCAGGGTGAACGGCTGTGGTATCTGTGCATTGTCAACCACAACACACCGTCCCTGCCCAGCTGATACTGTGCAGGCCCAGGCCGAGAACCCACTGCAGATGCAAGACAGAGACTCCCAAGTGAGGACAGGTAATGTGGAGGCCACTGCTGTGGTCTTGGCCCGGGGGCTGCCTTTACCTCATTCCCTTCCCGGCAGTTGCCTCTGGACTCTGGGGGCAGGATGAGGCTATGCTGGGCCAGCAGCAGTACTAGAGACAAACAGGTCTGGCACCTGGCCCTCTGCATCCTGAAGTCACCCTGGGGCTCAGGTCAGTAGTGCAGAGACCTTCTCAGCAGCTGCCCATGACAGTTGCTCGGGTCACTGGGGCAGGGGGATCCAAGCCAGTTTCCTCTACCCAGCCTCCTGTGGCCTCCACCAGAGCTGTCGGAGGAAAGGGCTCCTC